TTTTAATGCCTTGGGTATCTTCAGTACTTTATTTTATTGGCTTGTTATAAAGCTTTTTTGTTGACAAGTCGAAGATAATCTGATTTTTTTTACCCTTGGTTTTTTTGTACCTCTCACACCCCTGCCACAACCCAAAATAACCAAAGAGGGGTTTTGTTTTTATTTTTATGTGTTTTTTTTTTAAGTTTAGTGATGTACTATAATTGATAGTTTGGTTGTTTATACTGAGTCAATCTTTCCAAGTAATTATTGTACCCTTTCACCATGAATATCCAGGAAGCTAGAAATCATAGTTTTAGTACTTGTTCTTATCCATTAGTTATTTAATTCTCCAAGTTCTCCTTTTATGTGCATATTGTGCTTTCTTTGTGGTTTATTCTATATTTATCACCTTTTTTCAAAATATTTTAGCATTCTAAATGCATACAAATTTAGTGTTAGAATTTGATTAGTTTTGCTAAATGCATATGTCTACATAACCTATGTTCTCCAAGATAAAGAGTATCTGCATCACGGAAAGTTCCCTCTTGCTCTTCCCACAAAACAATCTTTTTCACCTGAGTCAATATTTTGATTGCTTTCACATCACAACACTTTTGTCTACTCTAGAATTTCAAATGAACTGAAGTATTCCTTTTTTAAAATTTAAGACAGCTTCCTATTTTCCATGTTAAGCTATGATCCACTGTATTTTTTTTTCACTCTTCTGTCCTTCCTGGTCTGGCATTAATTTCTGAAATTACTTTCTCTTTTATTTCTAATTCCTGAATTCTGTTCACAAATTACATTGCTTCTGATTCTTTCCCGATTCTGATTTATGTTGTTGCCTCCCATTACATTTTTTTCCAATTTCTTTTAGCTCATTTTGAAATATACTAGATTTCAGTTTCATGTTGGCATGTGTTTGTTATACATTCATGTTTGACTACTATTACAGTGGTTTAATGTTGCTTTTATCTATTGATTCAACTTTTGATATTAGGAACTTGCCTTATTATTTCCAGGAAACACCTAGCATAATGCTCGAACTAATAAGTTATTGATAAATAACCTTTTATTGAATTGAAACCTAACCTATTGTGAACAATGTGAGATTTTCACCATGCTGTAGTGAAAGTGATATCTTAATTTCATAAAACCTTAAGACTATGCCTAAGACCTACCAATCACAGAGCTGCAAAGACCTTAAAGCTCTTGCTCAATGGCTTTATTAATAATTCCATTTTCACCTAGTGTGGGGCGTGCAGGAGGCAGCCAATCAATGTTTCTCTCTCATCATTGGTGTTTCTCTCTCTCCCTCTTCCTTATTCCTTGAAATCAATAAAAACATATTTTTAAAAAATAATTTCATTTTCATAAACAACTCTCCCAAGATCTTATAGACATGTAGTAGCAAAATTAAGGCTAAATCCCTGGTTTCCTGATTCTCAGTGTAGTGTCGTATATATATTGAGTCTCAAAGTAAAGAAAACCGTGTTTATATACAATATAAAATGTGTGCAGATGTTGCATACCTACTTTCTGTCCTTTTCCCCCTCCCATTCATAGTCAGTTTCTGATAGAGTCTATATAAATATGTATTTATCAATAGCTTATTATTACAAGGTACCTAAACGATTTTCACCCAAATTTGTGGACAAGAGGGTTCCTTGAGCAGTGGTACGGAGAGCAAGAACAAGAGAGGTAATGGGGAATCACACTCAAGGACAAGGAGGCCCCTTTCCACCTCTCTCCTCTCCCCACTGCCAGCACTGGGAACGCATCAGGTGGAGTGTGATTGGCTGGTGATGCACTCAGTCAGCTTCCTCTGCCAGCCTCACACAAACAGACGCCAAAGCCGCACCCAGAGGATGGAATCAGGAGCTTAACTGTGATTGCAACCTAGAAAGAGTTTTGTCAACAGAAGGCAGCATCCTAGACACAGCAGAAGCTCTTCCAGCAGAAATAAAGGATCAAGTGAGAGGTTTTTCTCATCGCAGCCACCGGTTCTGAGTATCAAGGGCTAAGGGGAAACATATAAAATAAACAATGTGTTATTTGTCATACAGTATAACCAATATTATATGATTATACAGCTGTGAAGAGCCTTAGAAGAACAACATAGTTGCTGGGTACCGCCCCAGAAGGCAATGGTGAGGGGGCTGGTAGATTACCCAGCCAGTGGCATCATGGGGGGAATTTTCTCTCCACTGTATCTCTGAACTGCTAACCTGGAGCTTGAAGAAAGGCTTATGAGGAAGGAGTGCATAGAAGGAAACATAGAAGAATTGGGTTCAGAAGAATCATGAAGCTGAACTCTAAATAGGACAAGCAGGTGTGTGCTAAAAGAGATAGTGAAGCATGATGCAGGGACAAGAATAAAATCCCACTAATTCCAGCCCTTTCCTTCAGTTGTAATCATAATTTATAATACCCAAAGTTGCAAAACTTCAAGAAGAAAATACTTATTTGAGAATGCAATTGTTTTATATGTTTATTTAATATCTCAAAAATATAGTAAATAATCTATTGTAAATTTGAGCCAACTCTCCAACAGGCCAAACTTGCTCTCTCCACCCTAGCATGGTGCCTTTTGACTTTAATGTGAAGATGAATCACTTGTTCTCATGGTAAAATGCAGGTTCTGATTCAGTGGCGCCAGGTGGTGTTCAGGATCCTACATTCCTATCAGGCTTCCAGGAGGTGCTGATGCTGCCAGTTCTCACTGGGCACTTTGGGCAGCCAACTATAGGGAGACCTAAGCTGTGCCTGCCTTTCACATCTGGGGCTTGTGCAGTGCAAAAAGATCACTAAGTAAGGATTGGGGTATCACATAAGACGATACTGTTTATTTCAACACACTTTCGCTGAGTGCCTGCTGCATAATAAGCAGTAGAAAGGGAAAAGGTAACACTGGTTCTTTGGTTTTACGGAGCTCCTGGGCAGGAACAGGGGCTGCTGGAGGATGCTGACATTAGTAGATGCCATGCTGGCAGAGAAGGATGCTACAGGAACGATAAGAGAAGCATAGCACAGCTGCTGTGAACACATCAGAAAAGGAAGGTTACTCTGGCTCAGTGGTCAGCAAACTCATTAGTCAACAGAGCGGCAAAGAGAGCCGCATGTGGCTCGTGGACTGCAGTTTACTGACCACTGCTCAGGCTGATCAAGAGCATGTGGTTTCACTGAGGAGGTGAGATTTGAACCAAGTATCTTTTGTAAGATGCTTACAGTGGATCTGGGAGGAAGGAGCTAAGTCTGGGAATGAACTGACTTCAAGAAAATTATTCTAGTCTTGATAGTACATCATGCAGATCACAAGCCAGATGAGAGGCCTGGCATTGAGATCAATCCTGTGGCTTTTCTAGAGGAGGAAGATTAAAGAAGTGTAGTGTTTGGACCAGAAATACCTCAATAAAGCACATGACAGTAGCTTGGAAGATGATCAAGCACAGAGGTGATGCTCAAACACATGGGGTGCCTTGCTTGTTGCAGATGGTCACTAAATCTTGTTTAAATATTTAAATTTGAGCAAACTACTCTGTGCTGTGTAAGCAGAAGTGGAAGCATGTTTTTGACCTCTCTTAAGTTTGACATAGTTTAACCTTAATAATCGGACCAATCTCTCAGCTCATATACTGTAGTTTGACTAGTCATTTGTCAACTCTATTAAAATATTATTTCCCAGTTAGTCACCAAGGTGTCTTCTCTATCTTTTCTCCTTTAGTCAGCCTGAAATTGTAAATTCCAAAAACTACCACAAAGTAAAACAGTTACAATGTAAGAAAGTGCTTGAATCATAGAAAGCCCTAGCACCCTAAGCCCCCAAGACAGAATATTTTCCTGAACAGTAGATAACTTGCAAAGATGAAAAACCTGAGGAAATTCGTTAGCTCTGAAAATCTCAAGCTTGTCTATTTTTTTTAAAAAATTGAAACCCTAGGAAGAAACACAATCTAAGGAGAAACAATTTGGAGGACTTCTTAATTGTGTCCCTAATATGTAGATATTTCTCTCAGTTGAGCACCATTAAGGCAAAGAAATTTCTAGGCTGACTCCCAGGACTATGCCGGAAGGCCAGTAGGCATGTGTGTTGAGCTAATTCTAATACCTACCTCAGAATATACATGTATTTCCTCCATTCGGGAATTTTGTCCATCTACAGTACAATGGTATGGTCTCGTCATGTATTTTCTAAATCTGTGTGGGGTGTTATTCTAAACCCTTTCTTCTTTGGGTGTGAGTTTTTTGCTGGAATGGGGAGCCACAGATTTGGAAACTCTAGCTCTATTACAGATTTACAGCTTGTTCTCCCTGAGGACCAGTCTGATGCCAATGTGATTGGGCTTACCTGTGAGACCCAGGATGAGTGCTGTCCCTCACAGGTTTCTCTAGAGATGCAGTGATTCCAATTTCTGCAGAGTCCTTTTTGGAAACAGACTTTATAGAGATGCAGATAATCAGTTTCTGCTTTACTCTGGCCGGCTGCTCTGATAAAGCCTTTTTTTAATTGGTGGACTAGGTGCCCTGGCCCGTGTAGCTCAGTTGGTTGGGCCTTGTCCAGTGGACTGAAAAGTTTCCCGTTCGATTCTCAGTCTGGACACATGCTTGGGTTCCGGGCTCAATCCCTAGTAGGTGTGCAGGAGGCAGCTCAGGGCATGCAGGAGGCTGCTAATTGATGTTTCGCTCTCACGTCAATGTTTTTCTCTCTCTCTCCCTTTCTCTCTCTCCAAAAAAATAAAAATAAAAATAAATCAACTAAAAAAATCTTAAAGCAATAAAACTGGCAGATTTGGCAGAGGGCTGGCCTCTCATCTCTCTCCTCGCTATGGTGCGTACTGGCTGACCAGTATACCTGAGAGAACAAGGGTCTGGGTGATTAGCTCTTTATCAGGTGTGATTTCCTTGTCTCATCTCTGTTTTCTTCTCCTCCAGCAGACATGGGTTCCATGAGGCAAGTGTGACCCTGAAGCCCAACCCTGCAGCCACAGCCCGACACCCAGCTGGGCAGGCAGAGCACCATGGATGGCATCATTGAGCAGAAGAATCTGATGCACAGTAAGATCAATGATGCTGGCAAGAGGAATGGCTTAATTAACACCAGAAACTTCATGGCTGAGAGCAGAGATGGCCTGGTGTCTGTTTACCCAACACCCCAGTACCAGAACTGCCTGCTGCTGGGCAGTGCAGCAGCAGCCACCCTGGACAGCGGCAGGAGTGAGCCGGTCCAGCAGCTGCTGGACCCCAACACCCTGCAGCAGTCAGTAGAATCCCACTACCATCCTAACATCATCCTCTACTCCGAGGGCATGCTGCGCTCCTGGGGGGATGGCGTGGCTGCCGACTGCTGCGAGACCACCTTCATTGAGGACCGGTCACCCACCAAAGAGAGTCTGGAGTACCCCGATGGGAAGTTCATTGACCTGTCAGCTGATGACATCAAAATCCACACCCTCTCCTATGATGTGGAGGAGGAAGAGGAATTTCAGGATCTGGAGGTCAGATGGGAATGGGATCTGATGATTTGGTAGGAATCCACGAGTGCCTGGCAAAAATTAGGGAATGGAACTAGTGTGATAAAATGCAGAGAAACTGAAACATTTTGGGTGCCCCTTAAACTCTTCAATATTTGCGAAAGATGGGAGGAGTGGAGAGAGACTAAATGACCAAGACCCAGTGAGGGCTTCAGCAGGAATTCTCATCAGCGATGGGGCTACAGGTGGATTCAAAGGTTGGCAGCCCCAGAGGGTCACTTGGGTACTCCCGCTAACACCCCACCCACTGGAAAGAGGGGTCATTGGCAAAGTGAACGAGGTGAGAGGGACATGTGGTGCTAGCCAGCAAAAGGCTAGAAATGCATGTGTGTGACAATTTTGAATGTATTTTTATTGCCACACATGTGTGTTTTCCTTAATTTGGCATGTCAAAGTTTCTACTAAAGCTGTGGTCGGCCAACTGCGGCTAGCGAGCCACATGTGGCTCTTTGGCCTCTTGAGTGTGGCTCTTCCACAAAATACCACAGCCTGGGCAAGCCTATTTTGAAGAAGTGGCATTAGAAGAAGTTTAAGTTTAAAAAATTTGGCTCTCAAAAGAAATTTCAATCAGTGTACTGATATTTGGCTCTGTTGACTAGTGAGTTTGCCGACCATTGTACCAAAAGGATCATTGGTAGAGTTAAAACCTGCTGGAAGAAGTCATAGAATTGATAGCCTTAAGAGAAGGGAAGTTAAATTATCCCAAGAGTCACTTCTTCATTAGACTGGAGAGCAGGTAAGGGTGGCTGGATTCCATTCTTAGAAGCATGCACATGGACTTGCTGCAAGATGCACAACAGTCTCCAGTGTGTCTCGTCCCTTCTCCTTCAATGAAGCACCCCAAATGGGAGGCTCTTTTGTTCACAGATCTGAACAAAAGCCATACATTTGGCAATTAAGAGGCAGAAACCCAAGCCTAAGGAAGTAATTTTACTGGCTTGAAGATAGAGGATATTCCTCTAGGACGTGAGTGGCAGAGAAAGAAGAGCCAGGTTTTCTGGTGGAGGCAGAAGAGAGCATGAAGGAAGAGGTCTGGAGAAGAATCAGACCCACACTCATGGACTAGGTAGAAGGCCAATGAAATAATGAGGAATTTCTGGGTCAATGACACCAGAATTGTCAGGATTGGAGGTGAAAGAAGCAGCTAGAGAGAGATGTTCTTCTTTTTTAATGGCATTTATTACTGTGACATTGGTTAAAAAATCATACAGGCTTCAGGTACACAGTTCTATAATACATCATCTGTATATTGTATTGTATGTTTACCCCCCCAAGTCAAGTCTCCTTCCATCACTATTTACAGCCCTTTGCTTTCCTCTGCCTCCCCCACTGCCCTTTCCCTCTGGCAATCACCATACTGTTCTCTGCATCCACGAGTCTGTCTTTACTTTGTTAATTTATTTTGTACATTAGACTCCACATATAAATGAAAAATCTTGGATATTTCTCATAGAATTTTTTTTTATATATATATGACCTCTGGCAAGGGAAACAAAAGGAAAAAAAATAAATGGGATTACATCAAACTAAAAAGTTTTTGGATAGCAAAGGAAACCATCAGCAAGATGAAAGGGAAACACAAATTGTATGGGAGAACATATCGCCAATGATACACTAATTTCCAAAATATATAAAGAACTTATACAACTCAACACCAAGAAAACAAACAATCTAATTTAAAAATGGGCAAAGGTCACTTTTCCAAAAAGGACAGACAGATGGCCAATAGACAAAATGTTCAAGGACACTAATTATCAGAGAAATCAAATTAAAACCACAATGAGCCCTGGCTGGTTTTGCTCAGTGGTTAGAGTGTTGGACTGTGGCCTGAAGGGTCACAGGTTTGATTCCTGGTCAAGGGAATGTACCTCAGTTTATGGCTCCATCCCTGGCTGTGGTTAGGGTACATGCAGGAGGCAACCAACTGATGGGTCTCTCCCATATTGATGTTTCTTTCTCTCTCTCTCTTCCTCTCCCCTCTCTCCTTCATTCTCTCTAAAAATCAATGGAAAAATATCCTCGGTTAAGAATTTAAAAAAACCACACACACAGTGAGGTGTCACCTCAAGCTTGTCAGTATGGCTATCGTCAATAAATTAACAAACAACAAATGCTGCTGAGGATGTGGGGAAAGGGAAACCTTCATGCACTATGCAAATTGGTGCAGCCACTATGGAAAACAATATGAAGAGACCTGAAAAATCAGAAATGGAACTGCCTTATGACTTAGCAATTCCAATTCTGGGAACATATCCCAAAAACTCAAAACCCTAATTCAAAAGACTACATGTACCCCATGCTCATTGCTGTGTTATTTTCAATAGTCAAGTTTGGAAGCAGCCCAAGTGCCCATCAGTAGATGAGTGGATAAAAACTCTGTGGTATAGTTACACAATGAAGTGCTGCTCAGCCTTAAAAAAAGGAGAAGGAAATCTTACCTTCTGGGACAGTATGGAAGGACCCAGAGCCTAATTAAGAAATGGAAAAATAAAAAGTGATGTAGCAATCCCTATGCATAGAGCTGAAAACCGAAGGGCAGTCTGTGGAGAGAAGTTGTCTGAGTGGGAAAGGCTGTACAAGGAGACCTGTTAAGGGGAAGAGACATTTGTTAAAGGGAAGAGAAGGGTGTGAGCTCTGGCAATGCTAGAGTTTTTGAGAAAGTTGGGAGAGGGCTTTGGCTTCCATTCAAAAGTCTCTTTAAGTGTCCACTCTGTTAAGGTCTGAAGTTTTTTGCTGAAAGCAAAAGTAGAAATGTTGCTTACCTACATTAGGAAGCAGAATCAAAAATGCAATTTCATCATAACAAAGAGTTGTAATAGACTGCCCAGTCTGCCTGAGAGCATCTAAGATAGAGGATGGGGCTTCTGAATTGCATCTTGAGGAGGAGAACCAGACTGTTGGCCAAGAAGGGCTGTGGGCAGGTGGGGGGAGAATTGCAGTCCAAGGAGACATGTGAGCAAATAAAGCCTAGAGGCATCCAACCTAGATCTGCAGGGAACGCTAACAAGTTAGATTTGGAAAAAAAAAAAAAAAAAAAAAAAACTATGGATCACGGTGAGATCTTAGAGACAGGACCTAAAAGAAGTAAGGTCTCATCACTGAGGGCCTTACCAGTCCTGTAAGGGAGGCTGGATTTTAGGTGGGTAACTACCAGACAGGAAGGATGGACACGTAATAGTGTCAATAAAGAGCCCTATGGAGAGGTGGGTGTGGGAAGGGAGCCCAGGCCCATCTATAGCCCAGGTGTGTTCAGGGTGCTACTGAGCTGCACCACTCAGGTCAGGCTGCTGGACCCTGATGGCTGCTGGGAGCAGGGAACCATTGAGGGTTTCAGGCAGCAGGACCATGGTCAGATCCATAATTTTGGAAGGTGTTCTGGCTGCAGAGTGGGACAAGAGTGTAGGGGAGATGAAGATAAGACAGGAAGGGGCATGGGCTAGTTATACTGGAGACACAGAGCCTGTTTGAGACCTGTTGTCAGGGGTGGTGAAAGAGAGAATCAGGACAGCATTAAACTGAATATTTTAGGCCATTATTTGGAGATAATGGGAAGGAAGGAGTCAGGCCTCTTTCTTTTTTAAAAAAATTGAATTTATGCCGAAACCAGTTTGGCTCAATGGATAGAGCATCGGCCTGCAGACTCAAGGGTCCCGGGTTCGATTCCAGTCATCTCCAGTAGGGGGCGTGCAAGAGGCAGCTGATCGATAACTCTCATCAATGTTTCTCTCTCTCCCTCTCTGTAAAAAAATTAGTAAAAAATATATATATATTTAAATTGAATTTATTGGGTTGACATTGGTTCACAAAACCATACAGGTTTCAAATGTACAACTCAATAAAACGTTATCTGCACACTGCATCATGTGCCTAGCAAAGTCTCTCTCTATCCCCAAGCAAAGTCTCTCTCCATCCCCACTCCTCCCACTTTTGTCCACCTCCACCTAGCCCCCAGCCCTTTCCCGCTGGCTGTCACCCCACTGTTGTCTGTGTCTGTGCGTTACTTATGAAGGCGAAGGCATTAACCAAAAAACGTGCATCCACAGACCCCTTTATATATAGATGTTTCCAGTGGCCTAAGTGGCCAAGTTGGCCAACAAAGGATTTTTAGTTTTGCTACGAGTTTTGGGGAAATCAGCTTCAATATTTAATATCCACCAGCAGTAAAAAGTTTGGAATAGAAAATGTAAAAGAAGTTCCTGAATGTCTCCATCATTCTTTTGTCACTTTTTATACCCATATGTTTCATAACCATAACCTTGAAATGGGTTCAGTAGGCCAAGGGCAGGGGAGATAAACAGACAGCTCTCAGTTCAGTTTTATCTGATGATTCCTTTGATTGAATTCAGGTGACTGCATTTTTGGCAGGACCAACCCGCAGGTGGTGCAATGCCCTTGCCAGTACCTTCCAGAGGCCCTTGGTGTCAATGTGCCCCATTCTTCATGGTGGTAATTTTGTCACTTGTTGAAGTTTCTCACTGGCCAAGTGATGGTGTTTCTTTGCAATTAATAACTATTTTTTAGAAAGGCACTTGATGGGAGAACACATCGTGGTTCCATTAAAACCTACTGTTTTTACCATTCTTCAACAAATTTCTAACTCTATAGTTCCTTATAAATGTATTAGTTTGCATTCCATTACAAGGAAGAGATATTCCTCCCCTTATTTATTGTATTATCTATTTATTACTTAGTTTCAGGCTGGCTATTGATCCTTATTTTATTCAGTGGCTTGCTGTCACATTTATTACAATGGGTATTGAATATTTATTCTGTTGTTCACTTTGTTATACTGGGAAGGAAAGGCCCCTTCAAGTTGGCTCTGTGCCTTTTGCAGTAGCTCATCATTCTTTAATCAGCTGTGATCATCACTTCCTGCTGCGACAAGCTGCTCCAAATGTATCTTCTCTGCTGCCAGCCTCAGCCCCGAAATCAGCCATTACCCCAAAGAGCCCAGGCTCCTTTTG